GCATGTGGGGAGGGTGCAGAAGGAGGATGCTGGCGGGAAAGGCAGATGGTGCCTGTGGTGAGAGGAGGGAATGCAGGAGGTGCTGGCGCAGGTAATAAGGGTTAGATGTTTTCACCTTTTAAAAAGTCATTTAACCACAATCTTTCTTTAATCGCAGTGGCTACTGGTTTAGGAAAAACAGAAAGAGGTGCTAGAGAAAGCAAGGGCTCAGTTCGGCAGAGCTGCCGTGGGGAGGGGACGCTCCCCCTCAGAGCTTGGGGGGAACCTCGGATCACTGGGGGGGGTGGGGGGCGGGTGTCTCCCACAGTGCTTGACAAAAATTACCGCTTTAAAGTTGAGACATGTTTGGTCCTCTAAGTCTCTTAATCAATTCTGCACAACAGATCTAGTCTAGAACTTAACTAAATACATCCTACATTGCTTTTCATTTCAGTTTTTCTAAAGCGGGAGCATCAGTGAAGATCCTGGATGGCTCCCAGGTGGCCTGTTGTCTACTTCTGCTCTGAAGGCAAATGGGTAATCACAGCAGCACGTTGTTAGGAAGTCAACATGTGTCTTTGCGATAACCAGTTATCGTGCAGAGTCAGGGCTTCAGTTGTGTTGCATATTTGAGCTGGCCAAAAGAATATCCAACTTGGGATAGTAAGAAAAGTTTATCTTGACAGCTAGCAAAAGTTTCCTTTCACAGAGCCAGACTTAATTCTATTTTCTACTGCTGCATAGATAGAGAAGTGAAATACAGCTTTGTGTGATACAAGTGAAGTAACATACCGTGAACGTACCATGATAAAAGAAGTGTTAGGAAGTCAGTTTCTCACCAGAACTTAAAAATTAAAAATACAGATCTCACCATTTTATTAAGACGGTCACTGACAGTTTGTAAAAAAAAAACAAACCCATTCTAACATACATAAAAGCTTCAGACCAGAAATATCAAGGAATTGAAACAGCATTCCCCTCCGCGCCCCCGCCCCCCCCCCCCACACCTCCACAATTAACAACGT